GACTTTTCAAGGAAAAAACGACTTTCGAAGGGGGGGTTCCCCCTTAATCTGGCATTCGATGAATTGACTATTGAATACGAACGACGGTCATATCAAGTGGAACATGCTGGATGTATTTGAAAAAAATGTAAGCAACCAGAGTGTAGATATTGGCGGGTTGCGTCTCTTCACAACTCAAACTCACATAAATATAAAAACACTCAAACACAAAGAACAACACCCACTCACATTCACACGCAGACCCCATGTCCATGGCTTTATATTACATCTTGTGAAAATTTTCTTTTCGATGCCCTTCTCATGAATGTGGTCTTGTAATATGGAATGACTTTCTCCTTTAGGAGGAGAATTTAAGTAAAACCTAAATTAATTTGGAATGTAGAGTAGTATGACAGTCTGCCTGACAACGTACTCATCTTTGCAGAAAACTCTCAATTGATGAGTGATGATTATATTTAATTGAAACCAGAACATTTCGATTGGAAATTGATCTTCAAAAGCATGAAATGCCGGGCAAATGATTTTTTCAAGAAGAAATCAACATCGAAAGTTGAGGAAGACAAGTACCATTGACTGTTTCGTTATGTTCTTATGAAAATAGGCTATACATTTGTTTACAAATATTTCTGATGCAAAAACTAAAAATTTGAAATGCTTTTACTGGAATGTTCTCACAAAAAACATTCGAGATTCTCTTTCAGAAAAGGATCAGCGAATCCCTAGGATCAGTACTGCCTTGTATTTTATTATTATTATTATTCATAGAAGACACTTTTTTCTGAACATGATTATACAGTTTGCATGACATTTTAAGAATATTGTTGAATTATATGGTATAACCACACAATGAGCATCGTTGTTCTTGTAACGCAAACAAACAAATAAGACCGATGGGAAATAGGAAAATAGCACATAAAATACCCAAGCAAGTAACCTGCGATGTTAATATACCTTGCTGAAATAAATAAACAAAAAGATATTTTTATTTATATTTAAGTTAATATATCATTTTTTTTATTTTAATCATAAACTTACACGACAGTGTGGACAATTGCCAATTGTTTGATAGGCAATTATCGTTGGAGGTGGCGGCGGACAATAACCTGGATTTCCTTCATACATTGGAGGAGGAACAGCACCATAAGTAGGTTGACCAGGATACGACATTGTGATGTTTTTTTCTCGAAACAAATAGTGATGCCGCTATGAATATGACTGATAGTAAATATGCTAGAGAGTCGTCGATATTATATATATAAAAAAAAAACGCATGCTTATCTTCCGAAGATTGACTCATGAAACATCAACAAAAGAAAACATAGTTGTTGTGCAATGTTTGAATTCTGTCACTTGATTCTTATCAAAAGTATACATGAGAAGAAACGCAATCTAATTCTGAGTTAACGCGAGAGAAATGCACTGTTGTATTCTTTTTTTATCTATTCAGCTTCTCACTATTCTAGCATATCTTTTTTTTTTCTTTCTTTGTTGTTTAGTTAAAATTTTTTAAATAGAGTTTATTTTGACAATAAAAAAAAAGACTTAGAAACTACGGCCATTGTTTCAAAGATCATTTTCTCGTTTAAGAATTCTTTTATTACAGAGTATTATGTTGATCTGCAGATGCTATCGAAATTTAAACTATTTTATATAAATAATCAAAATTATATAGTTAGATTAGCCCATAGTCTATAATAACATTAAACACAATCGATAAATGACTATGAAATTGCGTCGACGAATTTTTATGACTTTATTTTGCCAGTTTTTTTTTTCTATTTCAGTATACTCCCTAATAGGAAGCCTTTCATAAAGCGTTTATTGTAATTTAAAAATTTCATACAGTTAAGTTAATTGGTTCGATCATTGCTTTTTTCGGTCACTTATATCTTTACTGGAGACATTCTGAGGAAACTTTTATGACAGGTCTAGATATGTTGTGTTTAGCTCATTCATAGACCTTTTATGGGTCTCTTCGAAATCATATACATCTGACAACTCTTAAGGCGACGAAATGTATAGCAGACTTCAAGACAGATGGGCGTGGATGTAGAGCTGGTTTTCTTTCATAAAAACACTGACATCTGAGACCAGTTCTCTGGAGTATTCTTATCTAGTTTCCCATAAGAAACAAAATTTTCGAAAAAATATTATTGAATATTTTCAATCGACGCCGCTGATTAATGGATTAACGCGCAATGTATTCGGTGTAATCACAATTGATTATTGATATTAGTTTTTATTATATTGACATCAGTTATAATATATCGGATTGCTATTATACATGTGTTTTTATTTGCTAATGAAATTGCATCTTTAAAATTTCGTCAAACTATATGAATTTTGTCATTATAAAGATTGTTCATACATTTTTCTGGTAGAATGATTCACATAAATTCGTTAGAATTTCATTAAAACTGATTATAAATACATGACTTCGAGAGCATCAATAAGAATATCATCGAACATGGTAAAAAAACAATCATATAATGTTCATATTTTGTGATTTAGTAAAGTACTCAAGAAATTTTTAAACATAACTTATAATCGAATAATAATATTAAAAACATATTTTCATTTTATTTATCTTATGGCATACATTCTAATCTGAGCATTGTTTTTTGTCTATCAATAAAAAAAATTGTCGCAATACATTCATAGTCAAAAATTTTGCATCCCATCGACTATTATAACTATTTCTAACATCAGTAATTTTTTCAACAGAATAAAAAACTTTTTAGAGCTATTCCTAGAGAATTAAAATATGACACACGATATAACTGCTCATGGTAATCATAGCTAGATTGTTTTATTCTATCTACTGTGCAGAATATTTTTACATCGTTCTTTTCCTTAATCCAATTTTCTGACTCTTCCCTTTAACACATCTTTCATTGTTTAGTTAATTCGTTCAAATTTTTAACCAACATAATCAACACTCCTTTTGAATCATACTTCACAAAGCTCTATCAAGCACTATCTTATTAAATTATTTATAGAGGGATGTAGATGTGATAAGTATAAAGATGTTTCAAGAGAGAGCAACTGAAACTTTAGTGCTCCGATATACTCTTACGTGTATTATTCAGTTTTGCCGTCTTTTTGTTCAAATATACTATTTTTACTTTTGATATTTCTGCCTATTTTGTTAAATATGTTTCAGTGACACTCTTTCAAGTTGCCACTATTATACGTTCAGTTAATCAGCTAATGATAAAAATAGTCACTAGCTCATTTCACTCATTTGCATCCAAGCTATTTGTTTTCCAATTGCCGTACGCTCGTAGGCGATCAATTAACTTTTTTTTCTTTCTCGATACACACTCATATATGTACGATTAACAGTGGTGTGTGTGAACAATGACGAAGTACCGATAATTATGCTATATATTTCAATCTTCCTCATCTGCATAATTATGATGATCCTTATAGTTTTCGTCATAAAATTGTTTCAAAACCACCAATTCGTTCTCTTCTTTGTTTTGTTTTTTTTTCTTGCACTATTGTTTTCGATAGTTGTGTGGGCTTTGTTTATCATTCTTATCGTCCAAAAATATTGTCATATCATTTTCTTTTATATAACTCAAATTGGTATTAATGAACACTTCCTTGAATACTTGACATGTGCTCGCATCAAAAACTACAAAGATGAGTCGTTAAAAAAGAATTTTTAAGCTGATCAGATTCTAAAGGTTACCGAAACATAAGTGCAACGTCAAATGAATTATTTTTGAAAACACTACAATCAAATGCTCCTAATACAAAACTATGGTGTTTTTTTGACTTCGAAAACGTACAAAAAGTTCTAATACATTCCATCATTTTACTTTAAACTAATTATATTTGACAAACAACACTACCATTAAGAGTAGGATTTGTTACAATGCCAATATAATATGGAGAAGAAAATAAATTTCCATTATCATCTTGTGAAAAAAAAAATTTTTAAAAATAAAATAAACTTGCCTCTCTGATTTCATGGCTCATACTTTGAAAACAGTTACTCTTGATGAATAAATCATTCCATGACTATAGAGAAGATCTTGTAAGGGATTGTTCTTGTGCATTAGCACCTATTTACCAGATGGAAAATTTAACACTTCAACTATTTCAGTAACTAATGATTGACTAGTTTGTAAAATTGTACAATGACCAACTCCAACTTTTAGACATGAAGACGTACTCAATGCGAATGGTGCTTGATGCATTTCATCGGTATTTAAAATTAGTTTCTTTGTACTTGGTAGATCATCTTCTATGTAAAGCATACTGTTCTCCACAAAAAATGCGACATCATCTACCAAAGTAATTCGAGGACTTTGAGATGAATAGTACCAGTCACCTTTGGAATTGTTCAACGTATCTTCTGTAATTATTGCGAGTTGATTTTGTTGAAACACTTGTTAAAAATACAACATCTTCAAAATATATATTGGCTCGACCGTCATAGTTGCATTAGAAATCTTTTCATTCATAGTTTGATCTGTAAGTGAGTGCTCGGTAAGTCCCTCTAGCGAGCATCAGTAAATGTAATGAGTTGGAAAACTTATTAGATGTGTCTGTACACTGAAGTAAAAAAAATAATTTGAGTCACAATATAGTTTAATTATTGATTTGGTTCAAGCATATGTAATGAAGAATTACTCCATTTTAATTATTGTGTGTGGTGGAAAAGGAAAAAAAATCGATAAGTAATGCTGAATTTTTATTAAAATATTCTCCATAAAGATCCATATGAAATTCATTAGATTAAAAGACCTTATTGATGATTATTTTCGACGCAATTTCTTTTTTGCTGTCTGTCTTCATGAGTTTTCACGATAATTTGACATCAAATTACTTCAAATTTCAAAACTTTTCATGGACGTCTTGGCTTCTTTTCGTTATAGGATACGATTGAAATTTTTCTTTGTGAGCCAAACAAATTTTGGTTTGTTGTAATACGAAATTTCGAAATTGACGAATAATGAAACTATAGTTTAAACTCCATGCCAAACTTCTAAGTTTTTATATGATATAAATATTTCGAAAAATTACACATGAAAATTCGATCATTCTCATTGAATTCAACACAATGGAGGTTTTTGAAATCACTATTTTGTTTCTTTTTTCTAAATAATCAATGTGACATTTGGCATTAATGTCAGCAGCAGCAATGATTGTCCACTAAATCAACAATCGGCGCCATTTTTTGTCATTTTAAACGTCTCCTTTTTAAGATTGAGATGTCAACATGAGTTTCATTTTGTAGCTTCTATAAAATGCTAAACGTTGATAGAGATTTCTCAATGTGAGCAAAGGAGAGTTTCATATTCACATTCTAACTTTCTAAAATACCTTTTTACTGAGCAATTCATAACTTTCAACTTTTTTTCTTAATATCTTTGCTGGCTTTATGGATCATTAAAAAAAAATGAATTAGATTATCTACTCTCTTACCATTCAGGGGAACATGTCTTTCACATTCTTGCGGATGCAAGAGTAAAACAAACTTAATAGATTCCAATTGCTTCAACTGTCGAAAAATAAATCTATCTTTCTTGAAACATGTTTACGTCTAATCATCTAACCTTTTCTCACTACTTCATCAATATGCAAACTATGTTTTATTACATTTTATCGTTAATATCACATTACAAATCATATCACCTGTCACGACCTTAATGAAAAAGTCGTTCAAACAAGGACTTCTCCACATAGTTTGACAGCCAGTTGTGATGTGTCATGATACATCGTTTCGTTTCATTGCATACTTTTTTTCTATTCCTCTTCGTTCGAAACGTTTTGCTTTTTATTTCCTCTCGATGACAAAAAAAACAAAAACCATAGGCTTACTCCACCAGCAAAAAAAAATATAACTATTGACTTAATACATTTTTGTCCATGTATGTGATACTTCTATCATTCTTTATACAAAAAAAAGAAAAAAGTATAGTTGAATCAAATGACTGCGTGAATATTGTATTCTTCGTTAGATTCATGAAATCAAGGACATAGTGTGTTGATTGCGAGATACGATAGTATCAAAATTATGAACATGTAACTAAATCATTCGACGTGTACGTGAAAAAAAACAGTTATTTAGACATTTTGAATGAAGCTCAAACGATTTAGATACCTATTCACATTGTAGAAAAACGCAAAAAAAATAAGTAAAATTAACTATACAAATGCTGGCTTTGTAAAGAAAAGAAATTTAACAATTTTGATTATCTTTGATATTATTCTATTCATTTGTTGTGTCACAAATTTCAATCTCTATTCGATCGACAATACCAGTCTAATAATGAATTCAAAAACAATGCTGATCATTCTCGCTATAGTTTTTACATCCTTATTCATCAAGTATCGTTATTACACGACAAGATTGACATCTTATTTAACGGATAGATGTACAATTACGGTAGAAGAAACATATTTGAACAATGATTCAGAAAATGGATGGATATCTTCATCTCTTTATAATAAACTCAATTTATATTTGCAATTCATTAAATCAAGCCGTGCAAATATTTCAAAAATAGTTCGTGTACATAATGGAAAATATATTATAAAATCATTCAATAAAAACTATATTCAATGGACTAAAAACAAAAGTTTCATTGATTATCCATATTCATCTTGGAATTGTTCGACAACATTGAAGAAAACAATTAATAACCATGAATATTGTTTTCTAACTAACATTTACTTTATTTCAGCTAATAATACCTACTATTATTATCGACATCCATCAGAAGACAAAGCAATGATTCGAGAACACTTCAGAGCTTCTCATGGTGGAATTCGTATTCATATTCTTGATAATATAACAATGATAAAACAACTTGATGTTTCAGCTATTTTAACACAACCCATTCATGTGGGTGGTGCACCTGATTTCAATTATGCTCATGGATTTCTTGAAAGATGTGGTCCTCTATTTTGGGTTCTTTCTGAAGTTCAATCTCATCCAATGTTTGTTGATCCAAGTAAAATTCAACTTTATTATTCATCCAACATGGATACCGATCATGGAACCAATTTATGGCAACCTATGAAACGACTTTCAGATGGAACTTATGAACATATAACTCGATGGAATAAAGTACTTTATGCTATGTTCTCTATTTATCCATTATTAACTTATAAATCGTTTGATCAAGCAACGATCATGTTCAAATATATGATTTTCACTGATTCGCATGAAAAACGATCGGCTGCTTGGGGTATTTATTATGAACCGTCGAGACTACGAAGTTTTTATCCCTTTAATATAAAACAATATCGACGAGCTTATTTAGACTATTCAGAATGGATATTGAATAATTTTCAATTACATTCCAAATTCGAATTAACACCGATTCAAATAAAATTACAAGAGACTCACAAATCAGAAAAAATACCTATTTGTTATGAAGAATGTCAAAATCAGTGGTTCAGTAAACTATCCGCAGCAACAGAATTTACTGGAGAATGGATTGTTGTTTTGAATCGAGCTGGTGTTGGTCGTCGAGAGTTAAGCAATGCTGATGAATTAGTGCAAGCACTATTGAGAACATTTTCTGATCATACGAATTCTTATCTACGTGTTTGGCCAAAACAATTCAATTTTGATGATGATTTGTATGAAACAGCGCGTATGGCTCGATCAATTCGTGTTCTTATTGGAGTTCATGGTGCTGGATTATCGAATAGTCTTTTTATGCGACCAGGCACAATTCTCTATGAAATTGATCCACCAGGTTGTCGTTTATTATCGTTTAATTTTCGGCGTTGGGCCGAAGTATTTAATCTGCAATATGCAGTATGGAGTCCTGGAGATAAAGGTGATCATTGTTCACGTGAAGCAGCAACAAAAGTACATGTCGATGAAATTGTCAATGATGTAATCAATCTAATTGAAAATGAAATTCAATATCGAAGTGGTTATCTATCACGAGCATATGATATTATTATGAAAGAATGAAAATTCTCCATATGACCAATTATAAAGGTGGATGAAAAATGAATGCAAAGAGGAAACAACAGTTATTTGAACTTAGGAAGGCGACGATGAAATCTTCACTCGTATTCTTCATAACCTACTCCAATAGAGAAATTTTTTTTTTCACTTGTTTGAATCTTGTGAAAGAGTTTCATAATTATAATCTAAGATTCTCTTTCTAGTTACGTCAAAGATTTAATTACGTTGCTCTTTTATTAGAAAAATAGATGTAGCACTTTTCACTTCTTTTCAGAAGAACAAAATAAAAAAATTTGTTTACAAGAACAAAGCAGTAGCAAGGTAGTGACTATCTTTTACGTTGCATTGAAAATTCAATATTTCAAGTATTGAAATTTCAAGAGCTGCTCAGGATGAGTACGAGTGTTTTTTTTGAGATGTGGAATCATTCGTTTTTAAGTGTCTATTTTGTATTGAATGATTTGTAAATTGTATGAAAACGTTCGAAAAAATAGCTGTTCTTTATCATGATCGTTATACAATAAGATGTAAAACAGTCAAGTATATAGATAAACAACATCTGTCAGAATCATCATATAATCTTCAGAGGTAACATGTACCATTAGATTACCATTCTCCAATGTTTATATGAAATGCATTCATGATATCAAAATGTATCATACTCATTATTATTTGAATTGGTTGTTTTTATTTATGTAAGATACAATTGAAAATTTTTTACCTTTCTCATACGACAATTAAAAGAGTGTTTATAAGTATATAAAAAAAAAGTGATGCTGAATTTCTATTTATTGATGAATATGGTTCAAAACATCATTTGTATGTTAGAAATAAAAAAAAGGATTCATTCTCACCTCAATACAACCTAACATCATATTGATGATGTGTAACTTATCGGTCTTGATTCTTATTTCATATCCAACAATTGAAATGTATATCTTTTCAAATTCATATGAATTCTTAGTTGTGTCATGAAATGTCTCAATATTCATTGAATAGTATTAGTTATGTGATCTTCATCAACAATATTATTATCGCTCTACTTATTATTCTCTATGACAGCCTAATCTAAAAAATTATTTGTTAATAATAAATAAAAACCATTTGAAAAATTTCTTTGCAGTATTCGTATTATAATCCTTGATTTTTTGAATATAGTCATGCATTGTTCATCTGTTAAAGTAACGAACAAATAAGAAATAATATTATAAACTATGATGATTATTTTGATTGAAACTGTCAAGATGATGATGCGATAGTTTCATTGATTAAGATGGAAACTTTATAAAATTCATGATGAAACAAATAGTTATAAAATTAATCGATTCTAAATTTCGTATCAGTCGATAAGAAAAAAACTTTTACAAATGAGAATATTAGCAATCAATTTCTTTTGTTCATTCATTTGAAAAAAAATCAAACAAAAGTTCATTTCATTTTCACAAATTCAACTAATAATGATTTCAACGTAACACGTTACTTCTTTGGTTATTTTTGATAAATCTATTAAGAAAATTCGACTATGTAGAATGAATAAAATGACATATTTGTATTTTATTTTTGATCGATAAAACATCTTTTTAGATGCCGTGAAGTGTCAAAGTCTGTAAAAAAAAGGTAATGTTCACAAAACTGATCAATTTTGCTGTTTTAGATCGTGATCAAATTACATAAACTTAGTTATTCCTGTGATCTACCATTTCATCTTATCGGAGATCTCTATACAGTTGATTATGAAAATTATTGTGTGCAAAAATTCACCATTGATAAGAGTTTATGTTAATAAATTCATATTAATTAATTGTTTTTCTGCACTTCAGAGAAACAAGATAAATATATTCGAAAAAAATAGCAACAAATTTTATTATATAAAGAGAAGAATATGTTTTGAATAATAGTGAAATTATTTTGGATGTAATCAAGATATTTAAAATGATCAATGTACAAGAAACTAAACGAATATTAATCAGTTGATTGATTCTTGCTCGTGTTTGTCAATTTTCGATGATGGATTCCAAAATGAGCTCAATCCAAGCATATGACGAGTCTTTTCAGCCGTAATTCGATCTAATTGTTGACTTTGCTCGTCGTTCATAAATGATGACCAATCACCTACAATACCTTTTCGAATAAATGTAATCGAATCTTCAGATTGTTGTCCCTGTTTCATAAGAAAACAATGTCGACTTGAATCGAAATTTTCTTTCATATATTCAAATGATGAATGTTTTTCAATACGATCGATTAATTGATTTTTATCTCTCATATCAATATTAAGGAATTGAGCTACTTTATCAATAACACTACGAAGATCATTCTTCATCTGTTCATATGAAATCAGCAAAACATTTTTATCATCTTTGTGTGACCATAACAAATCTAAATGATCAAAATAATCAATATAAGGTGTTTGACCATTGATAAATAATTGAAAGAATGTCGAAAAATCCATTTGTGAGAATTGAAATTCTGGATTCGAAGATAAAATTTGATAACAAGAAACACAAACATCTTTAGGTTGACGAATAACACCAATATATTTTGCTTCAGGATGATATAGAATACGATTGAATGGATAATGTGTTTGAATAACACCAGGACGAATCATCTTCGTCTTAACAGCATCTTTTCCAAATCGATCAAGGAATTGAATTCTTCCCAAATAATCTCCCATATCTTCATTGAATGGTTTTCCATCGGTTAATAAACCATAAACAATAGTTGACATCCAATGTGTACCTGATCTTGGATAAGTAACAATGAATATATCATCAGATTGTGTTTCATATTCAAGACCTGAACGAAATAGATCGACATCAAATAGTGCGGGTACACGTAATCCATCGACTATGGATATTGTTTTGTTATTCTTCATTTCGTTAGCCATTTGAAAGATAGATATAGTTTACTTATGGACAATTGATTAATGACAAACACGATCAATCTCATTTATATATTCTGAAGAAAGAGTAGAACGAGCATGCACTATCTAACTCAATAATTTCTGACGCATACATGTGGGATTTGTACGCATGACTGATTTGCATTCATTTTTTTTTCGATGACGTAGACAACTGCCGTTTGTCATGCAACTTATATTTGTCAGATTATCTGTATGTATTATTGTCATTGACGATAAAAATAGCTGATTACAACAAGTTTTTTATTCGAAGCTCTTCGAAAACGAATTCAATGATCAATCATAGAATTTCCTTTCGAAACAAATTTCTTTTAAAGATAGCAATTCATTTCATATGTTAAAGCATTCGATTATAGTCACATGTATGTACCAAAGAAAATGTTCTTGAGATTTGGCTCGATGAATCTTATGAGCAGAGTTAACAATCACTTGACTCAAACTTCTACTTCTTCATAATGTATATATGGAAAAAAATTCTTAACATATTACGTAAACATTGATCGAAATATTGAGTTTTCATGATTCTTGTCTAATAGATATGAATATTTTAAAAGTATCAATATGCTTATATAGAAACCTTTGTTTTGAAATAAATTTTTGAAGAGACTTTCACTTGTATTTAACTTGTCAGCGAGTACTATTTCAGATAAAAGACTCACAAAAAGTTTTAGCCAGATGGAAACTTTTTTCCAGAATCCTTTTCAGAATTGTTTTCGAAAGAAAAATATGAGACTCAATAATCTTCTTGCTGAAGAAGAATACATTTGACAATCTTAATTTGCTATTTCATCTGATACAAAACCATGTAGTATGTTCCGTTTAACTGGTACATAATAACAATAATCAATAAGAAAATCATCAATACATCATCTAAAAATTTAATGCAGAGAAAAGTAATTTATGTTTTAATTGAAAATTGAAAAACTGGACTAGACTTGGCAAAAATCGTTCAAATATCATATTCTCATATTACTAGTCTTTATCTCATTGAGATCTATATGTAAACAAAAATAATCTTTCGTTTTATTGAATTTTACGAAGAAAGAAAAGAGAAATTTTGTTCATATTTAAATCATACATATTATTTTGATTCATTGTCATTTGATCTGAATGATTTCAGTTCATTGTAGATGATCATTATTAAAAGCAATGTAATGTAAATGACTTCGATTAAACATTCAGTTATTCTAAAATGTCTCATCCTAGAGTAAAAAGAGACATTCATATTCACACTCTATAAATAGATTTTCATTAGAAAAGTCACAACTAACTATAGGTTCTATATTTTCGACATCAACACTTTCAACAATTGATATGGACGATGCTAAAATTTGAAATAATGAAACACTCCAGTGTCTAGATAAAACAATAATAAATTTTAAAAATTCAAAATTTTTTTTGTAACTATTAAAAAATATTAATTCGGTTAATCTTTTTCTTCATCATTTGATTGATTTACGGCAATCAACAACTATCACATATCATATTCGAGTTTGATAGAGTGTATCAAATACTACTACATTATTACTATTTGTTTTAGCCAAACCATCAATAGATGCAAGAAGAATTTCGAGCACAATCAAAATATTACATTTTTCTATTTCTATAATAATAACTTGATCTGTAAGGTCAAGTTGCAGTCAAAGTTATCCAATTTTTAGGTATACTTATTTTTAAAATGCTTTTTTTTTTAAATAGTCCATTAAATAAATATTTTCTAATATTCTTTCATAGGAATATTACAAATGCGTTCAATAGATGAATCATAAGTACAATAATTCTTGTAATACTTTTACTTTTGTTTTACGAATTTTAAGTAAATTTTGTATCAAATTAAAATAAATTTGACTATTGTCTACAAAGGTACCGAACAACGATGGATAACATAAGTAAACATTGAAAGATATTAAAGAACAAGAAAATAATTTTCTTTTATTTACTAAAATTAATTATGAGTAGAACTAAAAATTTTGCATTTAATCCTTCTGTAAAACTTGTATGAAATTTAAATTCTAAACATTTGACTAGTTTTTTTTTCACACTGAAGTTATAACATTTTTTTAACTTTAATCATCGACTATTTTCTTGTATTTGATTATGAATCAGATAGTGAATTATTCGTTTTCCATTAATGAGTTGATGAAAGATGATTAGCAACCTTTTTTTTTTGTAGTGTTAAAAAAATACATTTATAAGAATTATTTTATTTTACATGAGTGTTCACTTTTATCTAAAGCAAAATGTTTTCGTACACTTTGTTTAACTTAGTAAAATATACGTGTACACTTAGTTTTCGTGAGCAAAGGATAGCAAAATGTATAGATTAAAGTTTGTCATAGAATCTAGAAAAAATAAACTTGTTCATTTTTATATCTATTCAGAAATATAAAACAAATATATAAGATTAAATAAACAACACATACATACAATTATTATTTAATTTGAAATCAGTAAGAACATATTTGCGAAAAACAAGTACATATGAACATTCTAGTTTAGCAAAAATCAATCAAAAGTTTGATCTTCATCTTCTTCATGATACATATCTACATGATCATTACAGAACCATATTGAATCAATATTTATACCAATTTTGATTCTACAATAATTATCTTCATTCGAACTTCTAATGAAGATAATGATGAACCATGATCTGTTACTAAAACTCCATTTTTACTAAACAATTCAATTTATGTTACTTGAATTTTACTCATTTGAAACAAAAAGAATAAAAAATTTCGTTATTGATGTATTGAAAATATTGAATTAACAAACAATATATCTGTGTATCTTGAAAAAAGAATGAGATTAGAAAAAGAAAAAGAAAGATTAATCAATACTAAAATTCTTCAAAACAGGTCGTGTTGTACATTTTATTCTTCCCTAACATTAATATGAGTTTATATCCAAACAGATTTTCCGATAAAAAACAAAATGTTAATTTCGCAAACACAGTGTATTGAGTACACGCTGCTTTTGTCAACAGTGTGTAAAATAGTGTGTATTTTGCATTTAGCAAGAGTTTAGTACATTTTGTTTCTGCAGTTTACACTTGCTATTCGGGACCTTGATCTAGAGCCTTGCTGTAGTCATGAACAGCAATTAGCTAAACAAAAAAAAAAGAATAAAAATAAAGACAAACCAATAAAACTAGAATACTTACGAAAAATGATTTATCAAATATAACAAACTGCGTAGTATAAATTCAAGATTATTGTAATATAGTGTTCAATAAAAAGAAAAGAAATATGAATTTTCATGATCAATAATTAAGACATAATCTCCTCTTTGTAATCAGATTCAGTTGTAGTGCGATAGTATAGCTTCAGATGAAATAAGTCTTAGTTGCAAGGAATATGTAGGTATAGATGCAAAGAAGAAGTACACACACACAAACGCACCCTTTCGACGAAAATGGAATCTATCTGTAACGTTCCCGGTTGATTGGATTTCATACATGATACTTAACCTTCCTATATCACTCACTCGTATATTATACATTGTCATTACCTTTCTATTCTTATGCTTCTGTCCTTATCCTATTGTTCTCCTATATCGGCTCTCTCCTTGGCCTTATCTTCTCTCTTTTCATCCTCTCTTCTTCTACTTGCGTATATAAGCGTGTACTATGTATGTAAACGATGCGATTATATGATATGAAGGAATAGAATAAAGTGTAATACCATCAGTACCAACATCCCTTCTATCAAAAATCGTCACAAACACCATAACATTTAAGTAGTTGCTCATATTCATCTACTACTCTCTTTTTAAACATCGAATAGTAACAAAACGACAATGCAGAAAATCAGTCAACAGATTTGTTTAATTATCCTATTGGTTTTGGTTGCAACAAGTTACATGGCGCAGGCGGCGGCAATTGAAGATGTAGATGGCAATGACATTGTTCAACATGCCATTAAGAAACGTCAAGCTTGTGCTTATAAGGGTAGTTGTTGTAATCCTGCTAATTCTCCTTGTAGTCTTTGTTATGGTAGTGCTCCTGCATATTGTAGTCCGGCCTTTGGTTGTTCTCGTGCTCTTTGTAGTGGTACTTGTGCTGTTACTGGTCCTCTTCTTCTTCTGTGTTAATGAATCAGGTATGTTTTGTCGTTCGAAACGTTCGACTGAAACATATCGAGAGTGTCAATGACATATGGGAATTCTCAGAAGAATTAGATAAAATTTCGAATGATATTATGAATTCCTTTTCTTTCGTTTCTCGTATAAGAGCATCTATTTAGTTCATCATTCGTATACCCCTTTTGAAAAGGGGCTGCAGCTGGTATTTTCAGTTTATCATCACTATAAAAATATATTTTTAAAAGAATAATACCATGTTCTGAAAGCACACGAAGCTTTGAATTACCTTGTGTATTCATGTTTTATTTTTGCACTTATATACTAAAAAATAAATCAAATGCAATGAAGACACCCTCAATTGATAAGTATGAAAAAACCACATTTTTCGCTACTTTTTTTGATTTTCTTCGTTCAGTTATAGGTACAATGGAAATAAAATTTTATAAAAGTAATTGTGTATTCTAATCGAGCTTCGGATTCTTTATCAATCTGTATATTTTTTATTTCGATCATTTGGAACGTCTGAACCAGCAAACGAAAAAGAACACAAGAGATCATTGCGAAATCCTGGTTTTTTACAGTTTGTCAAGAAGGTCTCTATATATTATTTGAATTATTTGTCAGCACACACATAGAAGATAAAATAAAAATATAGAGAATTTGAAGCTCTATCAGAATATACAATTATTTTTGTAAAAATTTATTTTCTAGCATATAAGTGCAAAAATAAAACACAAATATACATGGTGATAAAAAACTTCGTGCACTTTCACAATATGGTATTAGTCTTTAAAAAATATTTTTTTATAGTGATGATACACTCAAAATGCCGACTACAGCTACTTTTTTCCAGTGGCATATATTTCTATTTTAGTTTATTATTT